CCCCAGTTTGTGCATCCATTTTATTTATTTATTTATAAAGATTTTATTTATTTATTTGAGAGAGAGTGAAAGCGAGAGAAATCACAGAGGGAGAGGGAGAAGCAGACTCGCCGCTGAGCGGAGAGTCCAATGTGAGGCTCAATCCCAGGACCCTGAGATCATGACCTGAGCCGAAAGCAGACGCTTAACCAACTGAGCCACCAGGTGCCCCAGTTTGTACATCCATTTAATTACTCCAGTGTCTATGCACACTCTCACCTTTCTGCATTTTCTCATTACTTTTCTACCTTTTAGGATCTGTTCCCACCCCCAACAGTCTGGTCTGTTCCTCTTCAAGGATTGACACAGGCCTAGCCATCAGATCTTCTTTCACTACACCTGACTGCTAGAAGCTATATGCTTTTAGGCAAGTGGTTTACCTTCTCTGAAATTGGTCTAGCTGTTTTAAAGGTTTCCTCTACTTTTGACATTCTGTAACTCTTCTTCCAACACATGTTGACCTCTTCTTTCAATTCCCTTATAATACTTCTAGTCTACCACAAAATAAATTCTTTATTTTTTTTCAGTTGTTACGCTTAATACTATAATTTTTCTCATTTATCTAACAGAGGGCTAAGTCTGTGCATCTACTGTGAAACTAGCATAGTACCAGTGGCTAGTTGGTTGATTTGAGCAATTTCAGTTTTATACGTAGCCCTAGGTGACTCATGTTCCAGGTTAGTACCATTAGCCTTTGAATTGAGAACGCTTGCAGGTCTTTCCTAGGATTTGCCTAACACAAATGACTATCCTTTGTTTTATTTTACTGTATGAATTGATACATACCATCCAATGGGGAAAAAGTGAATGTATTGGTGACTGAAGGGACCTGGGGCACTTCTTTGTGTGAACCAATTCAGTTTAAAATAAGATAGTCAGTCCTGAGCAGGGATTTGGTTTGGGGGTATGGAGAAGGTATAGAGGGTATATAGTTTAAAGAAGGAGCCCAGGAATCGCAGAGGGATAAGGCTATTTGACCTGACAGTCAATTTTTTAATAAATAGCCAAAGGAGAAAATTATTGGACATGTAATCCACAGGAAGAAAGAATATGGTTTTTGTGAGGTAATTATACATCAGCCATCTGACAAGGTTCTTTGAGAGGGGTAAATAAGGTGGGAACAAGGAGGAGTCAGTGAACATTTAGATTTTCAAAAAGCCTTTAATAGATTTTATACCAAACACTGCTTTAAAAATGTCCTCCTACCATGGGGTTGGGGATAATGTTTAGTCATGCATAGAGATCTAGTTTAAACACAGAAAAAAAGGAATGGATGGATTCAGTGAACTCCTCCTTGCATGGGGAGATTTTTACAGTAGGCTTCCTTTTGTTTGTTTTTTTTAACATTTTTATAAATGACTGTGGACAGTCAGCATAGTAACTCTCAGCTGCTTCCCAATTTGTAATTGACACTGAGGGCTATTGTAGATAGTAAAATATCGAACTGAAGAGTATTCGCTGAAGGATTGTTTCGTAAGGTTATGTGAAAAGGCAGGAAAATGGCATAAGTGACTGTAACTCTAGATGGATCCTCCCATATTTTTCAACCCATGAAAAGTTCTAGGAGTTGTTATGTAGGGATCTCAGAAAACATTAGCTTTGGGTATTCTTGTGTCTGCATTAAGAAAAACCCACACTATATAGGACATAGTCATGAAGGGCATTACAAATAAAAGTATATTACTGTCTTGATTTAAAATTGATGCTTATTTACCTGTGTTATTTGTACAATTTGAGTTTTGAAGACTAGGTGGCAAAATGGGTCAATGATTTAAATAAGAATTATTAATATAAGAAATGATTATATCATGTACAGAATGTCAAAGCAGAGAAAGAGGCAGAGAAAGGATGTTAGCCCAAAAAAATCCAGAGCCTAAATAGATTTACTACTATAGACTTCTTTTTTTTTTTTTTTAAAGATTTTATTTATTTATTTGACAGAGAGAGACAGTGAGAGAGGGAACACAAGCAGAAGAGGAGTGGGAGAGGGAGAAGCAGGCTTCCCACCAAGCAGGGAGCCTGATGCGGGGCTCGATCCCAGGACCCTGAGATCATGATCTGAGCCAAAGGCAGACGCTTAACGACTGAGCCACCCAGGCGCCCCACTACTATAGACTTCTTTGCTACATCTTAAAAGTTTGAACCAAGGGCTTCCTTTTGAATTTGAAAGATGTCTTTTTAAATGAATTTGCTTAAGTAGATATGTGGCAGATTAAAAAGAAAATGAAGCTGCTAGTCTGTGTATTCAGACTAAAAATTTCAGTTTTATTAAAAGCTTAGTTTAGGGGCGCCTGGGTGGCTCAGTCATTAAACGTCTGCCTTCGGCTCAGGTCATGATCCTCGGGGTCCTGGGATCGAGCCCCCTGCTCTGCGGGGAGCCTGCTTCTCCCTCTCCCACTCCCCCTGCTTGTGTTCCCTCTCTCGCTGTGTCTGTCAAATAAATAAAATCTTTAAAAAAAAAAAAAAAGCTTAGTTTAAATTATGTTTAAAGAGTAGTTAGGGAACATTAGTGCTTTCCCATCAAAAGCTCCATTGATGTCATTGCAATAGGCTGTATTGGAGAATCGTTGAGTTGACATGGTGTTTCTGGTTTGCATACAAACCAGGGAGCTATTCTACACATGATGTGTAGATACAGAGCCTAGGTTGTGACCCAAGCATATAAATTGACCTCCAGTATTTTTGGAAGGCTTAATTTTTTTTTAATACTGAATGATGAATTTTTAATTTTTTAAAATTCCAGTATAATTAACATACAGTGTAATATTAGTTTGAAGTGTACAGTGTAGTGATTCACCAATTCTACACATTACTCAGTGCTCATCATGGTAAGTATATTCTTAATCCCCTTCACTTATTTCACCCATCCCCCCAAAGAAAAGAGAACTAGTGGAAAAAAAGACTGAATGATGACTTGTATTCTATAATTTATATTCTGGGTCCCTGGTGCAATTATTATACAGATCTGTTTCTGTCATATAATACATAGTTTTATTGTGACTTTTCCTATAGAAGGTTAATTTAAGGACAGCTGGGAAAGCTGAAAAAAAATGAATATATCATCTACAGCATGTCACCAAGAACAGAGGAAGCTAGATATATGGCTAAGAGCTATAAAATAGAGGCAGTTTCTGGGTGAGTTTTCTGAAGGCTATGTATTCCTTTTGGCAGCTTTTTCTAAGTTGAGCATGATGATTATGCCTTTCAAGAATGACGGCAATGCCTAAAGGGCAATCCATCTCTTCACAACTTTTTCATGAGTGTGAAATTTGCATCAAAAGCCCCATTGGACTTAGATACTTGTGACATATAATTTCTTGAATTAGCAGCAGTGCTCTGTCCTTACAGGTATGTGGTAACTTTTTGAAGGCCTGAAACTAATCTGTTCCTGGTACCCTCCTATCTAGATATTTGTACCCAGAGTATTAAGTAATGAACGGCCAGGATAGATACAGTGGTTGTTGAGGTTGGTAACAATTAGCTGGCTCTAATAATCACACCCTAGGTGGAAGAGAAGTGTTTCTGCAGAATCCTTCAAAGCTCTACCTGTACAGGGAGATTGTATCAGGCTTGAACAGTTAAATTTGATTGTTAAACATTTCAGAGGGGAGACTGCTCTCATGAATATCTGAATTACCTTAAACTTGTCTTCAGGAGGACATCTCCCTGCTACATCCAGTCCATCAGCAATTCTTGTCAGCTTTATGTCTCAAATTGTCTCCAGTGTCTCCATTTCATCTCCATTGCCACTACCCTGCTTCAAGTTGCCATCATCTCTAACTTGGTCTACTGCAAACATAACTGGCCTCCTCTCTTCCACTCTTGCCCCATTGACAATTCTCTACACAGCAGCCAAGCTCATCTTTTAAAAAAATACAAATCTGATCTAGTAATTCCACTACTAGGTATTTACCCAAACACTGTGAAAACATTAATTCAAAAAGGTACAGCACCCTTATGTTTATTCAGCATTATTTACACTAGCCAAATTATGGAAGCAGCCCAAATGTCCATCGATAGATGAATAAGATATGGTGTGTGTGTGTGTGTACGTACACACTGTGTACACACACACACACACACACACACCCCAACATGGATGGATCTAGAAAGTATAATGCTAAGTGAAATAAGTCAGGCAGAGAAAGACAAATACCATATGATTTCACTCGTGGAATTTAAGAAAATAAATAAAATAAAAACAAAAAAGACTCAGAGAGAAGAAACTGGTGTTTACCAGAGGTGAGGTAGGTGGGGAGGTACATGAAATAGGTGAAGGGGATTAAGAGTACATTTAATATGATGAGCCTTGAGTAATGTATAGAATTGGTGAATTGCTGTATTGTACACCTGAAACTAATATAACATTGTATGGTAGCTATACTGGAATTAACATTTTTTAAAGTTAAAAAAAGATATAGTCCATGGTCTCTGCGCAGACGCAAGTCAGGGTCCGGGTTTGCACTCAAACTGATCTGGACTGGCAGGAGGTCTTGTCAGGGCAGTGGCTATGGCTTGAGGGGTAGTTTTGATTTCTGTTTGCCTGAGTTATGAGATAAGCTGGCAAGAAGAGCTTAAGGAAAAATGTGAGACAAAGGTTGGTGAGTACAAGCAGGTGGGCAGTAAAGGTCAGCTCTTAGGATCTAGCTGGTAACAAAACCACTGAGAGAACAAATGCCACCATTGTGAGCAACACATATTTTCCCTAACAGGCATGACTGGAATGAAAAAAAAAAAAAAGCCACTGAGAAGGAGTATAAAAAACATATATACATATGCAGGTGTACACTTTTGCAGTTGTGTAGATTTATGGTAGATATCAAGTAATTCTTCCCAAGAGCACAAAACACACCCTGTTCTCGTTTAAAATGAATAGGAAATTTGTTGGATTCTGACAGTGTCTGATCATTGGACTTCTTCCTTTATGACATCCACACAAGTCGTGTGCTCGCTTCCCCAAGATGGCGGTTATGGTTATGGATGGTTATGGCTTAGAAGTGGCCACAGGGAATGGGTGGCGGCTCCACCTAGGGATTACTGAGGTCGTGTTTGTGGAAGAGGTAGATTCCTTCATGAAACAGCATGGGAATGAGACTGCAGATACAGTACTAAAGAAGCTGTATGAAAAGTACCAGAAGTAAAAGTTTATGGAACTCAAACCTTGCTCAAAAGAAAAGGAGGCTAGAAGGCCAGATTCCTGAAATTAAGCAGACTTTAGAAATTCTAAAATACATGCAGAAGAAAAAAGAGTCCACCAGTTCACTGGAGACCAGATTCTTACTGGCGGTAACCTGTATTGCAAAGCTTCAATTTCTCCTACTGATAAAGTGTGTCTGTGGTTGGAGACTAATGTAATGCTTGAATATGGCATTGATGAAGCTCAGGCATTGTTGGAAAAGAATTTGTTGACTGCCACGGAGAATCTTGATTACCACAGAAGTCAGTATGGCCAGGGTTTACAATTGGGATATAAAAAGAAGAAACGAAGATGATTCTACCAAGAACAAAGGATAATGCTGGCAATTAAAAATGTGGTTCAGGCGCCTGGGTGGCTCAGTTGGTTAAGCGTCTGCCTTCGGCTCAGGTCATGATCCCAGGGTCCTGGGATCGAGCCCCACATCGGGCTCCCTGCTCCACGGGAAGCCTGCTACTCCCTCTCCCACTCCCCCTGCTTGTGTTCCTGCTCTCGTGCTCTCTCTGTCAAATAAATATGTGGCTCAGTTTTCCAAACATGTTATTTTAAATACCCCAAAGTTTATCCCTAAATGTTGACATGACTTTGATTTTTTAACAGCAGGAACAACAATTAAAACTTAAAAAAAAAAAAAAGATAAACACTTTATTATAAAAACAAAATTAGTTTCAAATATTTTATGAAATTAGCAGTATTTTCATTTTTTTTATTTCCAACAAAGTAAATCTACTTTCATCTTTTTTGGTTTTTCATAAAAAAAGTCTTAGCTAAAATGGCTGAGGTATGCTATAGAAGCTGAATTCTGGACACTTTATTGGCTGATGTTACTCTCACTTGATTTGGTTAAACCAATGTAGAGGTAGGAAAAACAGTTGAAATATTTCCAAACTTTTCTTTAGTACATATGAGACTTTATGGCTCTCTGTTGCTGTTGTTTGTCATATTTATATAAATGGATTTTCATTAATTACTGTTTAGCCAATAACGATTATAATATTCTGTGCTTTTCGAGAAATGGTAATTTGCGTCCCTAAACAGTAAGAGGGCTATCGAGATCCCTTTTTCTTACCCCATAGAAGTGCACAGTGTCTTTGCAATGCCAACATAAGGGAGATCTTGGCCAACATGAAATAACAAAATTCTTTAGCCACTCAAAACTCTTGGCTAAGGCAATTTTGTATTTCTTAGCAGTTCTCCAAAGCAGCTGAACGAGAATATTAAGATAAATATAAATCTGCAGTGGTTGAAAAGATTTGTGAGCTTTTTTATTCATGATAAAACCTCATAGAGTAGAAAAATTCCTGTGGAAAGCCTTTGGTACAGTGGCTAGCATTGGGTGACACAGATTCTGATAAAAGCACAAATATATTATTCCATCTCCATGTAGTACAACATAGACTCGTACAATGTTTTGTATTTGTATTTTATGATACTAAAACATTGAAGTTAAAAAAAAATAACATCCACACAAACCAATCCTAAACATTCTTTACATTCTTGTGTTCCTTCTATGTAGTATATGTCCACTACTGTTAAATCGTGTTGAAAACCAGGTAATTTGTTGATGGCTTACTAAAATAAACAGTTAAAGATGCCTCTGTTGCATCTTATATTTAAATACATTTTTCAGAGGCCTCATTTACCCTAAAACTTAATAGAAATTAATTTTCAAACAAAGGGATACTTAATATATACTAAAGTAGCAATGTATTTCATAAATAGTGTAATATATAATGAAAGGAGGTCTTTGTAAAAAAAATACATTTAATTTTAGTTAAGTGGATTTCTCAGGCTTTTGTTAATACCATAATAGTCTATGGCATGATATTTTATGATTTTTTTAACTTTATACAGCTTCTGATTCTGAACTTGATCCCCTTGCTTTTCTTGGAATGTGGGAAGATATTTAAAAATTGTTTTTTCCTGAGTGGGGGGGGTTGGGGTGTGTGTGTGTGTATGTGTGTGTGTAAAAACATGGACCAGTATGACTGAAATGAAAAACTCTGTAGGTCAGTCAGTTGGTTATCGCTCATCTATAGCTGCTTACAAGGAAGTTGGAAACACTGATGCTGCTACTCAGGTAACAGAGATCCCCAGGCAAATGAGAATGCTGATTGTGTGATTCACGTTTTTAACTTGATTGTCCATTTGGGGACTTAACCTAATTTAGCCTATTTTTAGTGGGCCAGTAATATTTCATGTGAATGTGGCCTCTTTCAGTATCAACAGGAAATTGATGGTGAAGGTTGGACTGATTATCTCAGTCACATCAATTTCACTAAATTGGTATTCCCCTACCAACAACAGGGGTTAGAATACCACCTGGGAAATGTATCTAAACAGTCTAATAGATGATTTTTTTCTAATCCTCTGTGGGATCTGTCGAGTGCAGTGTCTCAAATAGTACCAGGTATACCAGACAATTAATAAATATCATTCTGTAACTTGGTATGTGACTGGTGAACAAGATTAGCAAGAAGGGAGAATATCTTGTAGCAGGTGCCCTGGGTAAAACTTGCAATCTAAGGGTTTTTAAGCACGTGAAATTTTGCTTGCATGCTCTAATGTGCCATTTCTTATATTCTAAATTTCTCAATGGAAAAAACCCCTGATCTATGCCGTCCTATACCAGAATGAATTATTACCTAACCTCACCTATCCTAACTAGCTTGGTCATGTTCAGTAAAATGAATTAAACTTAGAAAGATAATAGTATTATGCCATACTTGGTGAATGTCACTTATCTCTACTATTTATATTTTTCATTATAATCTGGTTATGAAATATTCCAAGAATGCTCCAGGAAGTACATAGAATAATATAAAGATCACCATGTAGCCATTCACAGTTTTGTCAAATCTTAACATTTTGCCATATTTGTTCTCAATATATTTTTTTAAGAAACTGAACAATTGAAACTTCCATTGTAACTTTTACTCCCTCTCTTCCCAGAGATAACTACTATCCTGAATTTGGTGTTTATAATTCCTTTAAATGTTTCTGCACTTTTACTACATATTTGCATATGAAGTTTTGAAACTTTTTATAAATGACATCACTCTGAATATATTCTTCCCCAATTTGCTATTATCACTCAATTTTTATGTTTTTGCCATTTATCCATGTTGATAGATGGGAATGTAGTTCATTCATTTAAATTGCTTATAGTATTCCATTATACAATGTGAGAGGTTAAGCCAACTGTGCAGTTAGAGGATGCATTCCCCGTAAGACTGTCCATACTTCAGCTACCCAACCCCATTTGTTGTGTCTGTTAATCCTCACTCAGGCTAAGGTATGTTTCTTCATGTATAATTTTAGATTATAAACATATCTTAAGGGGATTCTGTCTGTGGCTCTTTCATGTGGCTTCATGTCGCTCCAGAAAGTTTTAGCAATTGCTTCCACCAAGTCTCCAGAGGTACTACTGACCCAGAGCCACTTTCCTTTCATGGTGTTTTATTGGTTAAGGGCTTCTTGGATCATGTAGTATAATTTCAAACCCCCGACCTGTGTGAGGACAGACCACTGGTTATAAATACAGAGGTATAATCTTCTCCACCCAGAGCTTTGGATAAAACCATTTTTCTTTTCTCCCTTTTGTGGTTAAGTGGGTTTTCACTGAAGTGTAGTCCTTTAAGGATCCAGACATTATGAGAGAATATCTCATTTTCTACTCCCTGCCTTACTTGGATCTTAAGGACTCTCCTGTCCCTACGTAAGCATTAAAACCCAAGCCCTTAGTTTCATGAGATAGGCAAACTCCTTAGAACTTTTGCAGCATTAACTCATGTGCTTACTGCTCTAGTTTTCAGTTCCCAGTGTAGTTTTTGCTTACTTTTAAGGTAAGCAAAATATCCAGGGGTCTCCCAGAGTCTTCCCTGCTTGTTTCCTCCTTAAGACTTCTCTGTGGCCACTTTTTTTTTTTTTTTTAATTTTTACAGAGAGAGAGACAGAGCGAGCTTACATGAGTGGGGGGAGGGGCAGAGGGAGAGGAGAGAGAATCTCAGGCATACTCCCTGCTGAGCACAGAGCCTGACTCCGTTCAGTCCCCAACCATGAGATCATGATGTGAGCCAAAATCAAGAGTCAGATGCTTAACCAACTAAGCCACCCAGGTGCCCCTCTGGGATCATTTCTGTTGGGGGTCTCAGACATTACCTCTTGAGGCTATTTGTAGTTAGTAGGTGGTTTGGGGGAATAGCTGAGCTTTAGGGATACTTTTGGCTTGATCATAATTCTAGGCTTGCACATTGTATTATTAGTACTGGTACCTCTTGCTGCATCAAAATATTACTAATCTTACTTCTGAGGGATTCTTAATACCATGACAGAGAAAATAATAAGTTATCAAAATTCTTTTTCTGTAAGATCACTTATTAAATGGAAGATATTTCAAAGAAAATAATGCTACCTTAATTTTCAACTCAAGAATCCTAATTCACGCTTTCTATTCTCTTCCTAGGATGTGTGCAGTGTTTGGTGGAATCTATTGTCTTCGCCATTCAGTACAGTGCCTTGTTGTGGACAAAGAATCCAGAAAGTAAGGATGATATGTTACGTTCCTATAGTTGCACCCCAAGCACAGGTGAAAGATGCTAAAGTCAATTTAAAAAAAAATGATTCTTCAAAGATCCTCCTTGGTATTAATATCATATCAACCTTGATTAAAAGTAATTTGTATTTAGATCCTCCAGAACAAAGAAAGTGAGTTCAGAATATAGAAACTAAATTAATTTCCCTGCAATATAACTATAGCTCCTGATCATCCAAGCTTGGAAGACAAATCATTTCAGCTGCCGGGGGTGGGTAGTGAGTGATGTTAGTTTTCCTTGTGGCCTTACCTCCTCTAATTGATTTTTATCAGATGACAACAAAGCCCTCTGTTATTGCATTTTTAAAAATGGAGCTCACCTAAAGACTCATGAGATTAATCTCTGATGATAATACATGTCACTCCCAAGAGAAAAAACATTTTAATGACTTTTTAGGTAGATTGTTGTCATAAACTATGCTACCCTGTTATCTGAGGATAAATTCTTATACAATCATACTAGGCCTGCAGACTGGTTTAGGTTTGAAATAAGAATGTACCTGCTTTTAGAAAATGCCAAGCACTATCTATTTATGTTTATGTTTTTATGTTTCAATTATATTTTTCTAGGATTTATTATTTAGTTACTAAGATACACCCTTGTCTGAATTACACTAAGTAGTAGTCTTTGATTTCTGTGTTTAAATTAAAACTGGATTAAGTTTTAGGAGCTGTTTAAATTACTATGTATTTTTCTTTCTAGTTACGTGTTGTTAAGCATCTAACCTATATCTCTAATATGACTATTTTTAGGGGTATATAAAGAAATGGTATTGTTCAGACCATAAAATACTTTAATATCGTGAACTGGAAGCTTAAAAATAGAAAATTTAAGCTGTTTTATTTTACAGTAATTTTGTATAGTCTAAGCGGCATAATTTCTTATAGACTAATTATAACACGAAAAGCTGGTATTTTGAGATATGGTGGAGAAAAATTCAAGTCTAGAACATGTAATATTTAGGCAGTGAATTTGACTTAGAAAGTAATTCTCTAGTATAAGATAATATAAACACACAGTTTAAAGGCTTGTATGTAAAGTACTTTTAGCACCTTAATGCAAAGGTACCACATAAATGAAAAATGATAATGTATAGTGAAAAATCTTTGAAGGCCCAGGATATTCATATACTGGGTCATGAATAACTCTGTGGAGGTTCATGAAGGAATTGTTGTTTTTAAGCCTCTTAGAGTCATTTTTCCTTATATAGTCATTTTGAAGCACGAATGTGTTCCCATGATGGAAAGCCAGATAGTGAATTGTTTATTTTTATTTGGTGTTTATTTACTTACATCCTTTTACCTTTTTGGGGCCCAAATCCAGTTCTACTTGTTACTCTTAGTGACAAGAAGAATTTACATGGCTCATGTTTCTTTTTTTGGAAAATGGCTACATTAAGTACAGTAATAACATTTGTTCAACTAAAGGTTACATTTACCTTAACTTTGATGTAGTTTTTATTATAAACTCTGAAGAGAGGAATTCTTCCTTGCAACAAATAGCTGGGGGCCAAGGGTCTAAAGACCAAACATTGGTAGTTTTCAAATTTTAATGTGCCTAAGAATCACCAGGTAAACTTGTTCTGTTCTTGTTTTTGTTTTAAGGGAGATTTCTGTGCCTCACCCTCAGAGAGTGAAATTGGATAATGTGGTTAGAATGGAGTCAGGGAACTTGCAGTTTTGAGGAACACCCCAAATGAATCTAATGTAGGTGCTCCATAGATGACACTAAGAAACACTGATCTGTAATGTAAAGTTCAGGATCTAGCCAGTATTCTAGGATAGAGTGGGAGCTTTAGATCTTAATCCATTCTAGGCCCTTATGAAAATGATTCTTCCAGATCTATTGGAGTCAAATATGAATCTTATTTATTTTTTTGTTTTTTGTTATTTTCTTTAAGCTATAAATGTGGTTTTTTCCCCCAAGTTTTTATTTAAATTCCATCTAGTTAACATAAAGTGCAGTATTAATTTTAGGTGTAGAATTTAGTGATTCATCACATACAGTACCTGATGCTCATCACAAGTGCCCTCCTTATAGCCATCACCTGTTTAACCCATCCTACCTCCCCTCTAATAACCATCAGTTCTCTATAGTTGGTCTGTTTCTTGGTTTGTCTCTCTTTTATTCCCGCCTATGTTCATTTGTCTTGTTTCCTAAATTCCACATATGAATGAAATCATATGGTGTTTGTCTTTATCTGACTGACTTATTTCGCTTATCGTAATAGTCTCTAGCTCCATCCATGTCATTGCCAATGGCAAGATTTCATTCTTTTTAATGGTTAATATTCCATTGTGTATATATATATACCACATCTTTATCCATTCATCAATTGGTGGACATTTGGGCTCTTTCCATAAATTGGCTATTGTTGATAATGCTGCTATAAACATCGGGTGCATGTAGCCCTTTGAATCAGTATTTTTCTTTCCTTTGGGTAAATACATAGTAGTGTAATTGCTGTGTCTTAGGGTAGTTCTTTTTTTAACTTGGTGAGGAGCCTCCATACTGTTTTGCAGGGTGGCTGCACCAGTTTGCATTCCCACCAACAGTATAAGAGGGTTCCCCTTTCTCTACATCCTCACCAACAGCTCTTGTTTCCTGTATTGTTAATTTTAGTCATTCTGACACATGTGAGGTAATATCTCATTGTAGTTTTGATTTGTATTTCCCTGGTGATGAGTGATGTTGAGTATCTTTTTATGTCTCTTGGCCATCTGTGTGTCTTCTTTGGAAAAATGTCTGTTTGTGTCTTCTGCCCATTTTTTAACAGGATTATTTGTTTTGGGGGGTGTTGAGTTTGATAAGTTCTTTAAATATTTTGAATACTAATCCTTCCTCAGATAAGTCATTTGCAAATATCTTCTCCCACTCCGAAGGTTGCCTTTTAGTTTTATTGATTGTCTCCTTTGCCATGCAGAAGGTTTTTATTTTGAGGAAGTCTCAGTAGTTTATTTTTGCTTTTGTTTCCCTTGCTTCAGGAGACATATCTACAGCCAGTGTCAAGGAGGTTACTGCCTCTGTTCTCCTCTAGGATTTTAATGGTTTCCTGTTTCACAGTTAGGTCTTTAATCCATTTTGAATTTATTTTTCTGTATGTTGTAAGAAAGTGGTCCAGCTTCATTCTTTTGCATACTGCTATCCAGTTTCCCCAGTACCATTTGTTAAAGATACTGTCTTTTTTCCATTGGATATTCTTGCCTGCTTTGTTGAAGATTACTTGACCACATAGCTGTGGGTTCATTTCTGGGTTTTCTATTATGTTCTATTGATTTATGTGTCTGTTTTTGTGCCATTTCCATATTGTCTTGATCACTGCAGCTTTGTAATATAACTTGAATACTGCAGTTGTAATGCTCCAGCTTGCTTTTCTTTTTCAAGATTGCTTTGGCTATTTGAGGTCTTTTGTGGTTCCATACAAATTTGAGGATTCTTTGTTGTAACTCTGAAAAATGCTGTTGGTATTTTGATAGGGATTGCATTAAATGTGTAGGTTGCTTTGGATAATATAGGTATTTTAACAATATTTGTTCTTCCAATCCACAAGCGTGGAATGTTTTTCCATTTCTTTGTGTCATCTTCAGTTGCTTTCATAAATGTTGCATAGTTTTCAGAGTACAGAGCTTTTACCTCTTTATGTTTATTCCTAGATATCTTATGGTTTTTGGTGATATTGTAAATGGGATTGATTCCTTGATTTCTCTTTCTGCTGCTTCATTATTGGTGTGCAGAAGTGCAACAGATTTCTTTTTGTTGATTTTCTATCCTATGACTTTACTAAATTCGTGTACCATTTCTAGCAATTTTTTGGTGGAATCTTTTGGGTTTTCTGTATATATAGTATCATGTCATCTGCAAATAGTGAAAGTTTGACTTCCTCCTTGCTGATTTGGATGGCTTTTATTTCTTTTTGCTGTCTGCCAAAACTAGGACTTCCAGTACTATGTTGAGTAGCAGTGGTGAGAGTGGACATCCCTGTCTTGTCCCTGACCATAGAAGAAAAGCTCTGATTTTCCCCATTGAGGAAGATATTAGCTGTGGGTTTTTTGTATATGGCCTTTATTATGTTGAAGTATGTTCCCTCTATCCTATTTTGTTGAGGGTTTTTATCATGTTGTACTTTGTCAAATGCTTTTTCTGCATCTATTGAAAGGATTCTTACCCTTTCTTTTATTAATATGGTGTATCATGTTGATTGATTAGCAAATATTGAACTGCCCTTGGAGCACAGGAATAAATTCCACTTGATCGTAGTGAATGATTCTTTTAATGTACTGTTGGATTCGATTTGCTAGTATTTTGTTGAGAATTTTTTTTTTATCTATGTTCATGAGGGATATTGGCCTATAGTTTTCTTTTTTTTTTTTTTTAAGATTTTATTTATTTATTTGAGAGAGAGAGAAT